ACTTCTCTTCAGTCAGACACTGAACAGTCACGTGGTTGGTAATATTTCCTGACATCATGACAAGACTCTCGTAGGGTGTGATGGCCCCAACTTTGCAGTTCCCGGTCTCCTCAGAGTGTTTGGTCTCAGTACTGAGCATGAAGGTCACATCCACACTCATTTTTCCCTCGTATTCGTCCCTTTTCACAAGCCTGGGTTAAATTGAACTCTAGCGATATCACCAAAATTTCGATGGAGTGATTAAAAAATCAGTGATTATCCAACTAACACTAGATTTCTCACTTTGCCAGAAAATCTAACTCACCTAGACAGCATGTTGGCAGCGAGACTAGGGTACTTGGCATTGACCACCACAATTGCAGGAACGTCAGTGTTATCTCTTATATCTGACAAAGCTCCGTGGTCTATCAGGTAGCTAGCCACTTCCGGTTGAGCGTACAGTACGGAGGTTACTACTGGCGGCTGTCCGAACCTGTCCACTGAGTTAAAGTCTCCGCCTAAGTAAAGAGGTAGAATATCGGGTTTTGTTGTATTGTTTTTGGTGAAGGGGTTGAACCATTCATTAACTTGGGTAAGATGTCCAAAAAGAACCTTATTTTTTGGCTGGACAAAGTATGTTGAACATAGATGAATAAATCATAGATTTTTGTTACAAAATTGGCAGCAGCCCCCCTCTAAATGTCATGATCAATGATATAATGAATCACCAATATTACTATACCTGATTCCACGATGTACCGGACAATATCGATATTTCCGGAAATTCCGGCGAAATGCAGGGCACATCTACCAGAGGAATCCTCCGGAAGAAACCAAGTATCCTCGGGGAGGCACTGAAAAGCTTCCAGAGACCCGAGTAGGGCACTACAGTGAACAGGTGTCATTCCTGAGTAGTCCGGTTGTTGGGGGTTCAACCCCGCCTCCAGTAACCTGTTGGAGTTGAATTTGTTAGAGAACCCGTACAGATAATAAGTTAGTATTAAATATGCGTATATAGATTTTTATTGTATAATAAGGTGAAAAGTAATAAAACGGTTTCATTTCAAGTGCTCTTCTGATCGGTGGACTATATTAGTATTACAAATAAGACATTACATTTGCAGGTTAACTTTGAAAATGAGCAGTAAGCTGTACCTTTGAACGGTAGCTGCATCGCACCACATCGCCGCTAAGTGAAGAGCTGTTTGTCCAAGGTCATCTGTAGCCAAAATGAAGGGGTCTGATTTCAAATATTTCTCTAATTGCTTACTGTCTATCACTGCTTTACTGAAAAGTTAAGCACTTGATCACGTATATAGGTCTGATGAGAATTTCAAAACTGGATCGTTATGCCTATGGATATTCACGGTTAGTCTGAGATTTACCTTCTTGGAAAGAGTGAATCTGATGTGCAGATAAGTTTATCTGTTCAATTGTTGATGAACTTGTTGTGAAATGTTGTCGTTGATAAACGACAAAATATCGTCTTTCCGATCACTTCCATTTCGAGGCATTCTAATAACCTTATTTCCATTCAAACGAGATAAAGCTTATAACTTATTATAAAATCAATAGTGAGTCTGTTTAAAGCAATCATCGTTATTTTAATTTCGACGAACAAGCATTATATACATCAAGGTTCAAATTCGAAACAGGTATGAAAAGTAACTATTGAAATGTACTATAAAATGTATAAACATTCTGTGTAGGTACACGGAAACTACAACATGCAAACAGCAGCAAAACAGAATTAAACAATACTAATAGCTTGGTTCGGGATGGCTGTCGGCAGTATTTTTGGCAGCATATTTTGCATTTTTGCGTATTTGCGTATTTGAGCTGCAGAATGCAGATATGGTTTAGTCGTTCGACTCATATCGGTTCAGGTCGATTATCTAACTATCTAACACCGAGTTGTCCCCATCGAGCTATTCAAATGATTCTAATCTGAGCGAGAGTGTAGAAGAATGCAAAAACAAGTTATAAAACTGTTAGAATTAGATGTGTCAATGAATGGAATTTTAGCCGTGTAGCTCGTATTTCATTTTAGTGACCATGAAATTACAATATAGTGATGAGATAAACAAATATTGAGGAGGTCTAGGTGATAATAAAATTGGGCCACCTGGTGAGGCCGTTTGTAAAACGCCAGCTTTTAAAAAGGTGCTATAAGTATAGTTGGTTCTGGAACAGATCGCTAGCTTTACTTAATTACAGGAATTACAATAAAAATATCAAAGATATTGCGTTTTTCAGTTTCAAGTTTGCTGATCACACTTCCAAATTTAGAAATTGTATTTCATGTGCTGTACTTATAGCTGACATCCGGAAAAGTTGTTTGTAAACCGTATTACATCAACTGGCACTGCAACTGCTGAACTGGCATATTCTGTCGTAAATATTTACATGACAGACTTAGACTTTACTTTTAGTTGTCCGTTACCAATACCACAAATAAAATTATTCGCCATAAGGATCACTGAGCCACTGAGGTATTTGCAATTTGACTTCACATAGCCATGTTGCATGTGCCTACGCGTATAGTAGTAGTACGGCGGTCGTGCGCTGCTGCAAGCTAGAGGGCTCTGGTTAGAGCAAATAAAATTACAATATGTATATAATTATTTCACATAGCCATGTGCCTCCGGCGGTCGCGCGCTACTGCAAGCGAGAGCGGAGAGGGCTCTGGTTAGAGCAATATAATTATAACAATACAACATATTCTATTGCTTTATTTACCTTGGTAAATAATGTTCCCTCTCTTGTCTCTTCACATATCCATGTATATGTGTCTACGCCGCGTGCGCATTGCGTGACGCGCTTGTTTCACAAGTAGAATATCCTGTGCCTACAAATACGTATACAAATACATTGAAAGCCGCGCCGCGCGTTCGATCTAATTCCTAGATCGAACCGAATAACGATTTACAAAACGCTTTTTTGCCACAAAAGGATGAAACCAAAGATATTCATTATGTCTCTTCTTATTGCTTAAATAACTGGGTTCTTAAATTTTCCTTAAAACTTCATTCGAAACATTCCAAAAATAAAAATCATTTACACTGTTTTTATGAATAATTTCCCTCTTAAATCCTTCCAATCTAACTTTAAAACTTTAAACTGTCGAGCAGTTCTTGACATCTGGAGGGAGTTTGTTCCAATAAGGAATAACTCGCTCCGGAAGAAAAGAAGACTGAAGATTCTTCACTTTAGTTACACTTTTACTTCATTTATTGGTTGAAACAAGATTAAGACCAGATCTGCTCATTCTGAACAAACCCGATCCATATTCAGTCAAACCACTAGTTACTTTAAAAGCTTCAATAAGGTCCCCACGTATTCGCCGCTCTGCCAGCGTCTACGTAACGGCTGTATGGAAGAGTTCGGCTGTATGGAAGAGTACCCACCTCATCAATAAAACGGGTAAACCGCCTCTGGACGCTCTTCAGCTCCAAAACAGTCCCTCAACTTCCATGAGCCGCAACTGGATTCCACAATTGGACACAATACTCAATATGAGGTCTTATAAAAGCTTTATAAATAGCTATAATTTGCATTACAGCCTTTACTGGCCCCGCTCAGCCTGTCATTCCGCCGAATCTCTATTCGTATGTTTATGAACATAATAGCCTGAGGTCCCCAGGTATTACAGCCTGTTCTCTAATAACTAAATTCCTTACAATCCCGCAGATCATACGATTTGCTTTAGAAATACATGCATACATTATGATATTATTATTCATTGTAATGGCAATAAAATTTAAATTTTGTTTTCCTGAATTTGCTGACAAAAGAGAATGTTTGCTTGAAGAGATTCTTGTAAACTTGTACCGAAATTGCTTAAAATTTGGCTGAGGAATGATCATAACATAACATAACATTATAAATAATGCCTCTCTGGGCATCTCAAAAAGAAATTCATAGAAAATGAACACTTTACGTTTGAAACCATATAATTACAAACTTTTAAAAAATTTAACTAAATACCTTTGATATTAACTTGTAGCGCGATGCACTACTGGGTCGCGCGCGCATCAAATAATGCTTCTCGCAACCACAGTAGTGTGCAAACCAACATTCGAACCACCAGCAGCTGGTGGTCAATTTCCTACGAACGCGACTTAATTTTGGTTCAGACTGGAGTCGAGCGCTACGTTATAGCTGTATATATAGCTCGTTTCACGACGAAATCTTCATTTATTGAGTTTGTCTGTCGATTATGTTGGAGTTTGTATTTTTAATTTTGTACTCGAATACTGTTAATTTATTTTTATTAAATAGTTGTTTTTCGTAACAGCACACTAGTACGTGATTCCTTTTGTTATTCTTACATAATTAGGAAGATTTTAAACTTCAATACTATAAATAATCAAATATTTACGAACACCGATCATCGGTATGTACCCATTATGCATTATTGGTATCGAAGTCTTATGTTGAGCTGGATATCGAAAAATTTGAAAATGTAAGGCTGTAATTTTGTACTTGTTTAGGTGTAGAACTAGGATTAACAACTTGATTGCTAGGAGCTAGGAAGAGATTTTAGTAATGATGACCCTTTAAACTTAAACTATATCTCTAGTGCACTTCGATCGGTTTTCTTTTCAATTTTGATAAAACCTAGTCGTGATCTTTGTTTCAGAACTTCACTAATTTATTAAGTTTTGTAGTTTATATAGACGGAACATGAGCAGATACCATTTGATTAATTATAATATATCCGATTTGAAATATTATTCTGTCGGAGTTTGAGTTCAACATGGACACATTTATTAACATCCCGCATGAATTTGTGTCGTCTTTACAATTTTTTGCGCTGAATTTGTATGCTTATTAATACTGCCGCATGATATCAGTAGCTGCTATAAAACTAGAGTGTATAGCATGTGTATTATACGATGTTTCCCACGTAAAAATCGCAGGTTGTTTTGGTGCGGCTGGGCACTCTACTGGTGATTGACACCAGAGACTGAGAAAAACTTTGACATAATTTTCAAGTTTGATATGACCTAATAACTACCACATTTACAGGAAGTATGGTAATACATTCTTGTCAGCTGTCTGGGCAAATCTTCTCTCGCAGAATTGGATTAAAATTTAATGTATTTTATTTCTCACTTCCAACGATGTCGCAATTATTAGGTAAAATTTGAAGTTATTTTGAGATTCAATTAATAAATTTTAGATTGCAGCTTGATATCACTTAGTATGTACATTGTACTCGGTTGCAAGGGTAGAACTTATGAGAATACTATCATAGTATTATTGAACTATACTATTATGGGTTCATCAAAGTTCGTATCATGATTTGTCACAATTAAACCATCGAGTCACTTGAGGAAACCCGTTAAAGCTCGCAATTGGCGACGAGATAAAGTTTGTGGTACCTCTAGATGTTAAGTTAACTCTTAGGCTCCAATCTTCCTTACTATACCTACCACTCCTTCTTCCTTGATAAGAAGTAGATCCATCTGGAACAGTGAGCTGCTTCTTCCCTTCTATCCCGTACTAGCCTACTCAGCTCTCTCCAAACCGTGAACAACTACTCCCGGTGCTAGAACTTTAACCGCATAATTATAACAGCACAATTCTTTCGCTTGAATCTCAGTCTGCTGTAAGACTGCTGTACCGGTAGAGTTTTTACTTGTATGATTCAGCAATCTGCTCTTTAGATGGTACCGTTACCTCCCGCCATAAGACTGTGCCGTCTTGGTGACCTTGAGAATATCATAAGGTCCGATATATAAAAGCACTATCCAATATCGAGACCCACTCAGGATCCCAAACCACGACTCCTTTCGGTCGTCTGTACTTGCTTTTTTCCTCCCAGCATGGACTAAGTCAATGATACTGTCTTACATCGCTGGCCTTGTTCTTATAAGTGTTCACTCGGCGCTCACAAGATAACATGTTCAGAGATCTGTTGCAGAACCTTGTCGTGCCGTCATTTATATACTCCTTGACTAAGAGCTACTTTACACCTACAGCAAAAATGTGCTAAATGATATCCATCCTCTCCTCACATTACTGTACTTGCACTTACCATCCTCATCTTCGCCATAGAGGTGGTTAAGAGGGTGACGTACACAGCATCTAGCACGAATCCAATAAGTGAGTCTACAGTGCGTGTCGAAATACATTGCATGTACCCTTATATATTAATTGAGACAGAATTTTAATAAATCAACAAATTCTTAAAATTTAAAAAGGTAGAATTTAATTCTATGGCATTTATTGAAACCTGCTTTTTTAAAGTTGAGAATTGGTTTCAATTTCTAGAATATCACGATAATGTTGACTCAAAACTGTTTCAGGCAGCTATCAAGTCTCAAGATATGACATAATTTGATAGAATGTTAGTACCAACGCTATCAGTGCATTGAAGTCGAGTTCTCGATACAGGTATTATAATTAGGTTCTATCGACCGTTTTTGTAGTCTTAACTCATTTTTATTTGTTATTATACGACCAATTAAAACCTAGCAAACCAGACTTCTTTATGTGCTAAATGTTACTTTAACCTTAATAATAGCAGCATTGTGGCAGATATCCAGTTACATTTTTTCCAGCCGTATATTATAAATATACAGGGTGGGCCAAAAGTCAGTGTGCAAACGTTGGCATTAATAGCTCAGTCACTGAGTGCCCAATTGAAATAATTGGTTCTGGTATGACTTACTACCACCACTGGTTCGAGAAATTTGTCAAATCGAAACATATTTGTGTTCATTGTTTTCAAAAGCAAAAAGAAGGTTCATTTTCGCATTTATTTGATAGTTTGGATAATCGGATCGAGCCAAATTTTATTGAATTGTGTTTAGCCATTTAAATTACGTTTGCTCTAAAAAATGAGAGTATATATATATTACTCATGCAACTAAGATAAATTGAGTATAAATACTCAATTTATCTTAGTTTAAGTTCCAAGTTATATAACTCATTTTCTAAAGGTCTCGTAAACTTTAATCAATTACAGAGGGTGTGGCCTCTTTTTCACTGAAAAGACGCCATCAGATTTCATTGCATTCTGGGACCAATTTTGGTGTGATTTAAAGTATCCTACAAATTGGTGTTTACTGTTTCGACTTTTGTAAAATCACTGTAACAATATAATCTGTATTCTTATAGTTTCAACCATAATAGTGAAATAGAGGGGCTGGCCAATAGCCACACCCTCTGTAATTGATTTAAGCCTACGAAACTTTCAGAAATTTGTGTGTAATTCGGAGATAAATTAAACAAGTTGTTATCGGCCACCATGTGTAAACGGAATGTTCTAGCAGACTGTATAATACTATAACATACATTTTCTTACACACACATAACCTAATCTCTGGAATGTTGCTATGATATCAATGGCAATGTTTTGATACTGTGTATTATCATGATTATGCCTTACAGGCCGATCTTCCGATGGAGTTTCGGTTGCCATGGCAACACATCAATATGATAAAGAATTTGTAAACGCAGTCACAACTCTGTCGTGTACACTGTACGGTGCGAGCGGTTATTTTATGATAGGTAACATCTACTTTTTCAGCATTTGCGGGATGACCAGTTCACACGTATATTTTCGCAGACACAACTTCGCATAAAATTATATCCAATTATTCTATAACCAATTATCTACACGGACTTCTGTCTAAATATGAATGAAATCGAGAAAACCAAATATTATATGTTTCATCCTGAAGTGCTGAGTTCTCAGGCAGTATAATCATGATCCTGATAGATATCGAAGTCTCCTTAAATGATTGTCTCTGCTGCTTAATATATCTGGATTGTCGTTGGGAGGCGATGCAGATTTGTTTACTTTTAAGGGGGAGGTTCTGCTCAGCAGGAGAAAGAGGTGATGCACATTTTGTATTTGTCTGACATGTAGGACTTGAGCCACGTTTCCGTAAGTGCAATAAACGGTAACGAGTGGTTTTTGGATTTCTCCTGAATAAGAGCTGAGATTTTTGGCACTTCCCATATACTCGCACTTGATGCACAGGATTCATGGACTGGACATTTAAGACGAGGCATGAGGAATAACGGGCACGTGCAGTGTATCCTCTGAGGCGGTAGGAACTGCTGGTAGTGGTATAGTGGGTAGTATATATATATTACTCATGCAACTAAGATAAATTGAGTATAAATACTCAATTTATCTTAGTTTAAGTTGCAAGTTATATAACTCATTTTCTAAAGGTCTCGTAAACTTTAATCAATTACAGAGAGTGTGGCCTCTTTTTCACTGAAAAGACGCCATCAGATTTCATTGCATTCTGGGACCAATTTTGGTGTGATTTAAAGTATCCTACAAATTGGTGTTTACTGTTTCGACTTTTGTAAAATCACTGTAACAATATAATCTGTATTCTTATAGTTTCAACCATAATAGTGAAATAGAGGGGCTGGCCAATAGCCACACCCTCTGTAATTGATTTAAGCCTACGAAACTTTCAGAAATTTGTGTGTAATTCGGAGATAAATTAAACAAGTTGTTATCGGCCACCATGTGTAAACGGAATGTTCTAGCAGACTGTATAATACTATAACATACATTTTCTTACACACACATAACCTAATCTCTGGAATGTTGCTATGATATCAATGGCAATGTTTTGATACTGTGTATTATCATGATTATGCCTTACAGGCCGATCTTCCGATGGAGTTTCGGTTGCCATGGCAACACATCAATATGATAAAGAATTTGTAAACGCAGTCACAACTCTGTCGTGTACACTGTACGGTGCGAGCGGTTATTTTATGATAGGTAACATCTACTTTTTCAGCATTTGCGGGATGACCAGTTCACACGTATATTTTCGCAGACACAACTTCGCATAAAATTATATACAATTATTCTATAACCAATTATCTACACGGACTTCTGTCTAAATATGAATGAAATCGAGAAAACCAAATATTATATGTTTCATCCTGAAGTGCTGAGTTCTCAGGCAGTATAATCATGATCCTGATAGATATCGAAGTCTCCTTAAATGATTGTCTCTGCTGCTTAATATATCTGGATTGTCGTTGGGAGGCGATGCAGATTTGTTTACTTTTAAGGGGGAGGTTCTGCTCAGCAGGAGAAAGAGGTGATGCACATTTTGTATTTGTCTGACAGTGACATGTAGGACTTGAGCCACGTTTCCGTAAGTGCAATAAACGGTAACGAGTGGTTTTTGGATTTCTCCTGAATAAGAGCTGAGATTTTTGGCACTTCCCATATACTCGCACTTGATGCACTAGGATTCATGGACTGGACATTTAAGACGAGGCATGAGGAATAACGGGCACGTGCAGTGTATCCTCTGAGGCGGTAGGAACTGCTGGTAGTGGTATAGTGGGAGCGCTGTTCCTGGCTGAAGAGGTGGATGTGGTCTGGGGTAGTGGTAGGGCATTTGAGTTTGAGGGAGGCTGGACCGGTGGTCGACTATTTCTGATAGGAGTCCGATCCTGGTTTGCATCGTTTCCAACAGTCTCCGTAACTATAACAATCCTGTGATCTGGTATTGGTTACTTAAACTTATTTAATTGAACATGGTGTTTGACGTTGGAGCTTATCACTTTACAGTTTACATCACCTTACCTGAATAATTGAATAGGATGAATACTGAATAGCATTTATTAATGCTTTCTTTACCCGGAGAACTCTGTTTTACTTGTCCCTCGGTAACACAAGACCGTGAGCCGTGACACTTAGTCACAATAATTAAGTCATAAGTCAGAAAGAAGTCCATAATTCGTACACCCATGATTATGTTAAATATAGATTGACTCCAGTCTCCATTGTTCAATGACTTCGTCAAAATGTTTTAGGAAAATGTTCACAGATTTGTTAATTTTGGACTCAAATTAACGTTGAGAAAAACTGAATTTATTTTGGAAAAATCCCGGCTAAAACCAAAATCCCGGCCGGTACCGGTACAAAATCGCCAAATACCAGCCGGTATTCCGGCTGCGCCGGTTATATCCCGGTCGAGTTCTGTCTGAGACCTAATTTTCTCTATTTCTCGTGCAATTTTAGATCAGACACAGTCATCTAAATTATTTAATAAGAAGGTTTAAATTATAAGCAATTAAAAACAGTTGGGACTATCATTGTTTGTGAGTACATATTATACGAATATAAGGTGGTTAATATAATTATAACACATTTAATATAAAACATTTAAGACACATTTTTTTATTCCTGCATTGTACTCATTAATTTAACTAGTAATATTATATAAAAACCACATTTCTATTTGTACAGGGAGCTGCTGGTAAACTACCGTCGCTATACATCGACTATGACTACAATCTTACTTTTAAAAACAAACTACATACATATCTCACATTTGCGAGGACTACTTCATCACAAGCAAAAAATCGACATTGGTAAATAAAGGTAGGTTCTTTTCACTGACTTCGTTAAATGAGTTACATATTTTCACACAAATTACGTGCATGATCATTAAAGGGTTGCTTGTGTGCAGTTACTTCTGGGCCAGCGCCACCCTGTTTGGAGTTTTCACATAAGTAAATTTGCCGATAATACAATTTTACTCATTCTGGACATGTTACCTATATTATCATTATACTAGTATTTCTTCAGGTCTGTCTTCTATAACCACGATGAAAAGAAAAGCTGGGCGAAAACATTTGAGACTGCAGATTGCAGAACTGGAACACTCTATTTGAAGACAGTGGCTGCTGAGTGCTGAGCTGCATCAAATCTATCAGCATCATGTAACTTCGATCAGGAACAGACTCCATTTCATTTCCGACAACTAGCACCTGTTTTCCCTAGACTTACCAAGTATTAAGTAACTGCATTAGTATTAGGTTAAATTAAAGGCCCTACATCGAACAAGTCTAACAATTAAAACTTAAATGCAAGAGTGCACAATTTATCACTAAATATCTTCCTCTTTTAATTCTAATCAACACACGGTTTCGTCTTTGTTTCACCCAATCGTGCTGATAATCAGTAATCATGCACTCTGCACTCTAACTTCGAGATGTTTCAAAAGGGCTCCCGACGAGTTGAATTAGATCAATATTTTCTTTTGATACATAGATACTGATTGGGAGGTTCATCATACTATTCTTGTCACATGGTAACGATTAACGATTAGCTGATCAGCTTCCAGCATCGACAGGCCGAAATCCATAAATATAATCAGTTGTAATTTAATATTTATCATCGTCCGGATCATCATAATATTTTAATTTAAAGTTACAATTGAACGGTGTTAAGAAAGATAATTTAAGAGAAATGTTTTGAAAGTGCCTGATTTCGAGTATAAGATCTGTACTGATACATTAATTTTCAGATTGTTATTATAGTTTATTTGTATTTTTTATATTATCTTATCCGCACAAGTTCGGAAGCCATCTGAACGCTATTGCCAGACACAGGCATATATTTATTTTGGGGTATCATGCTCTCAGAAATTTCAACTCAGTCCGATATTATAGTTATACTAACCTGCATTGCATAAGGTTAATTGTCTCGCAGTCTAGTGCATAAACCTTTTATTTTGTATAAACCCTTTATTTTGATTGGGAAAACTTTAGTGGTTACCGTCTCTAAAGTTGGCATGATAGTTAATAAACTCTTATCTATTATGTCACTGAAGATGACGCCTTGCAACATGTTTGACGATAGCCTGTAGATTGATAGTTTGATCTAAGTATTTACAACAATTCATCTAGTTTGATTGATTCAAAGGGAAACAAATTCCTCTCTTATCTATTATGACTATATTTAAATTCAATCCTGTAAAGTGATACTCCTTTTTTAGTAATTTAAACATGTGTTTTCTCCTTCTGATTTTTAAACTATTACCGGTCACGCTGAATAATAATGACCTCAGTGAATTTAAAGCTATCGTTAACATCACTCAGAAAATGCGCGTCTTTAGCGCGTGTCTTGTTGTTATGCATCAATCCTTCGGTAGATCGGCGAGATGCACCACTGTGCCTCACCGAGCTGCGAAGGATTGACATCGTGAATCAAGATATTAACCTTCTTCCTCTTAGCTACCAATGGATTCTCTTTCATATAACTTACATAACTATTCCTATTAGACACAGACACATCTATCCTATCAAAGATGTCATATGAAAGTTCCCAGTGATGACCAAGCTTATTAGCTCGATATCCATGAAGCCGAAAGGCATCTAATCCTCTCTTGAAACCAGTAACTGACTCACTAGCTTTCACAAGTGGTGGTAGACTGTTCCAATAGCGCAAGACCCTTTGGGCAAAGAAATCAGTCTCATTTGTGGTGAATCTATGAGTCTTTGATCTAGCAGCAACGGTCCTACCAGAACGACCAAATAAATCGGAACCATAACCCACAAAGCCTTCCTGGATCTTGAACATCTCAATGAGATCTCCACGAACCCTGCGTTCAAGCAGGGTTGTGAGGTTCAGCTTATCCAGTCTCTCTCTGTACGTCATGAGTCCCAATCCATCAATCATACGGGTGAACGATCTTTGAACACCTTCCAATTCAAGAATCAGTGACCAGTTTCCATGCCTAGCCATTGGAGCCCATGCCTGTGAACAATACTCTATATGAGGCTTTACTAAAGACTTATACAAGCCCAGCATAACGCTTTTCTCCCTCGATATAATATTTCTTGTAAGCCAGGCAATGGTACTATTAGCTTTAGCAATGCACTTTCTCACATGACCCTCAAAGTTGAAGCTGGTGTTAAAGACAACTCCAAGGTCCTTCTCGCTTTCAACACATCTCAAAGGCACACCACCAAACAAGTACTGATTCTTAGGATTACAAGAACCAATTTGCATGACCATACACTTATCTACATTAAAATTTAAACACCAACGAGACTCCCAAAGTTCTAGCAACTTCAAATCAGCTGCTAGATTAATAAAAGGATTAACAATCATTTTAACATCATCAGCGAAAAGTTTGATGATAGCTTTGATTCCTTCTGGAAGATCATTTACAAATAAAAGAAAGAGCAATGGTCCCAAAACACTGCCTTGGGGCACTCCTGAAAGTATATACTTAATCTCAGAAAATTCATCTCCTACTTTAACTTTCATAGACCTCCCTACTAAAAAGTTTTCTAAAATACCAATTATCTCCTCAGGAACACCAACATTTCTTAATTTAACTAATAAACGGTGGTGTGGTACGCTATCAAAGGCCTTAGAGAAATCAAAGTATAATATATCAGCACAGCCACCTTCAGCCAGCAAGTCATTGACAGCGTCAATAGACTCCAGTAGGTTAGATAAGCATGACCGACCCTTCATGAAGCCGTGCTGCGTGCTACTAAGCACCTGTTCAACACCGTCGAGAATATACTCCCTAAGAAGCTTCTCATAGGCTTTGCATAGTATACAAGTCAGTGACACAGGCCTGTAATTATTAGGACTATGTACTGACCCCTTTTTGTGCAAGGCCACAACAGTGGCAGTTTTCCATACCTCAGGAATATACTGCTCAGAAGCACAGGCACTAAACAGCAACACAACCGCGTCCACAAAGGAACTGTTCTCACTTAAATACCTCAGGAGTCTAGGATGAACACCATCAGGACCCATAGCTTTACTAATATCTAGTGATCCCAAAATCTTGGCAACACTTTCAGGGTGCACCATAAATTTACTCCAGAAGTAATCATTATTACATTCTGTATAACAATTTTGAGGCAGAGGGCCAAAAGGTTCAGGTTTAAAAACTGACTGGAAAAAATCAGCTAACACTTCTGCCGTTTCAGAAGGAGACTTGGTCTCAGAACCATCATCTGTTTTAAGTCTTTCTACAGATTTTCTTAAAACACTTTTAGATTTAAGGTAATTAAAAAGAGGTTTACAATTTAACTTAAACAATTTAGTCACTTTATTCTCATATTTGATCTTTGCCTTAATCTCAGCGTTCTGGTACATCCGCTGCTCGTACTCGGCTGCGTTAAACATCACCATCGTAGGGTCCTCGTCAAAATCCTTCCATGCCCGGTCCTTGCACTTTCTTTTCCTAACCAGACTAGAGCAATCCCAGGGTAACCTCTGTAAGATCTCCCCACCTTTAGTTGTTTTAAGGTGGGTGGTTGGAACACGATCTGAAATGACACTACGTTTTTGGTGTAATTCTTCCCACATCTCTTCGACCTGAAGATCTTCTCTAGAGTACCCCCAGCTGATGTCTGATGACTGTGTGTTAACAAAGTCCTGATCCACCTTATACCAGCTTTTCTTCTTAGATGTAAGGAACTCGACATTGTTTTTGACTTTCAGCTCGACCAGTAGTGATACATGATCGCTTTTACCCAGAGGAGCAAGGATATCAACATTATTTACAAAACAATCATTATTGCAGAAGACCTGATCAAGCAAGGAGCATTGAGTTGTATCACCAACCTTCCTGACACGTGTCGAAGACCCAGTGACATACCACTTCAAACCTTTCCTGGTAAAGACATTCAAGAATTCTGATTCCATCAGCAACCTTCTGTCACATGAGTTTGGTGGGCGCTCGACTAGACTTTTGTCCCAGTTAACATGAGGTAGGTTCACATCGCCAACTATCACCAACTCTTCATCCGCATTAACTGGTAAACGTTCAAGAGCACCTAACAGGCCAGCATTGTCCTTCATATCAACAAGTGAAGTAGACCGATACAGACAAACAACATTGAACCTAACAGAGTCGATTACAATATTTACCGCAAGTGATTCAAGACCAGTAAACCAATCCAATCGTTCTACCCTCAGTGCTTTGTGGACAAAGATAGCAGATCCCCCAAAACGTGTATCATTAGGTCTGTCTGCACGAAAGAGGTTGAAATTAGGAATAGACACTTCAGCGTCAACAATATCTGAATTTAGCCAGGACTCTGTCACACAAATGATCTGAACGTCGTGAGTCTCTGACAAAACCATGAGTTCCGTCATCTTATTGTACAGGGAATTAGCATTAGTGTACAGCATCCTGATACCCTGTGATTCCTTTACGCAACTCGCTACTCGTTTTTTGACTTCACAGCATTCTGGACAACATCTTCTTTATTATCCGCATGCTCTACATTTGTTACAGGAGCCACATCAGTTGGCAGTTCCTCTTTGGGTGGTTTGTCAGCAGTTACTTTCGTCCTCTTATCAGTTTCCAGTTTAGCATTGCGTGTGTTCCACCGGATATCTCGATCCGCCTTGATCAAGTCAGGATTTATCCACACATCATCACTTTTCTTTTTTCCATGATAAGCAAACCCGCGTCCATGGTTGTGTGTGTAAGTAGCTAACTCTTCACTCTTTAGCTTCGCAATGACCATTCTTCCCCTGTACTTTGTACGGTTGACGTTGCCAAATACACCTATTCTCTTTGCTGATACTATGTCACTCTGGTTAAGATCTGTTGCATGTCGACAGATGATAGCCTTTAGTTGTTCCTGACTCTCATTTTCCTTATCTTCATCAGGTAAGTTTGACAGAACAATGTTATTCTCCCGCTTTTTCCTTTCCTGCATGTTAGCATCAATCTGTTGTGAGATGGTGGTTATTGCAGGGCCTGCTGCGTGCTGACACACTTCAGCTATCAATTTCTTCTGCTGCCCACTGGCTATCTCAGCCCAACTCTATCTTCTTATTGGCTTCTGAAACAACATCATTTACAAGAACCTTCTGGATAGATTGTTCCACACTGGCGCTGACAGCAGTCTGTATAACACTTGTCAGTTCTTTAGCAACGTCATCAGTAAGTTTTTCAAATTTGAGTTTCTCAGGCAAAACGAAACAAAAGTGGCAGTTCCACACTGTCAGCTTCTTGACATCTGTAACGGTTAGACCAGCCAAACCGGCACAACTACTATGCCACCAATTCTCACATGTTGAACAACCTAGCCAAACAATCTTCTTTCTCGAAAGTGGTTCATCATACTTCTGACAATAGAAGCATATCTCCTTTCTCTCGTTAGTTTCTGTACTGGCTGGGTCACTATCGATGTGCCCCGTTTGCCCGCCATTGTTAGCCATCCCTGAACTCAAATTATTTGTTATATAGTAGTGTTGAAAGTATTAAAAATCTGCGGGGTTTTGATCTCATCATCGAATCAGTAATCTTATCAGTGTGCCTCATTACGCTGTACCAAGCGAGTTTGAGATTAATCTTATCATTCACATGAATTCCGAATTCAACATTGGATACTTAAAATCAAACATTCATACAACAATAATTGTTAAAAATAAAATGATAGAAATGAAAAACTTGCAGAACACATAGAACCTCGTTAAACTCCGACTAGCTTTTGAACTCTGGGTTCATCTTGTGGATAATTTCCATCAAATGATGCTTTAGCTGTATCCCAGTGGCTGAAAGTGAGAAATCTTGGAATGAGGTTCCTAACCAATTTCTGTGATTGAAGTTTAAAAGTTCAGTTCAGTTCAGTTCAGTTTAGTCCCGGACGGCTTTAATCCGTAACCGGGTTTCTCCTCCGGAGTAGGACCTCAAATTTTACTGGTAGAGGTCCGCCGTTCGGCCTCCCTTCTAAGGGAATCCACGGAGATAGGTGCGAATAATGGGCTATCTGGATAAGCCTTCAAGCCCTCGCAGATCCTTAAGTATCGTCCTTTCTGTACTGGCTGTGCACATGAGGACTTCCCAGCGACCTGTGGGACAATATGTCCACTGAAACCAATGCAACAGAGCAGAATTATTAAGACATAATCGTCCCGAGAATTAATGGCCAGATGTACAGGCAGCCAACTGACCATTTTCCTCACGTGAGAGTCATTCCATACTAATCATGTGTTGGGACAGTGAAAGACCCTCAGAAA